TGGCAAATTTAAATTTTCGCCAGTGCTGTGGCGCTGCAATCTTTGGCTATGTCTTGGACTACTCAAATATTTTATGTTTTGATATTAAATTAACTTCTGAAGTATAATTTTTTATTGTTTTTATATTTTGCAATATATTTATTTTGTTTGTACAAAATAAAAAATTAATTTTTAACAATACAATAGTCTTCGTTAGGCTTAACATTGACGAAAATTCAACGCGAAGCGAGCAACAGAGAAAAATGTCAAGATGGGATAAATTAATATATTTTTTCGTGCATAATCGGTTATCCGAAACATCAATCTTCCGAACAACCCTGGTCCCCAATTGATTCGGATAATCGACGCTCTACTGTATTTTAATTTGATTTGATTTGATTTTGGGTCGATTTTCTTGAATTTAACTTGTACCATAATTTCATGTGTATTACTTATGGGTTATCTATGTTTAAAAGGTAATTTGAAAGATGCTGCAGGTTATATGTTGATTTTAAATTCCAATTACAAGTTAAAGTTGATTCACACTGTAATTATTTTCTGTTTAATTTTTCCGAGTTTACTTTATTATTATTACTGGACAAAGGAAATTAGTCATAAAATAAAAATGATAAATTGTATTTATTTTTACACTTAATTTATATAGTTGGGACAGTTTGTAAACACATTCAGTCAAATTATGGGGATGGACAATGTGTACAGGAATACAAATATGTACAAATTGTGTAAACAAATGTTAATTTCTCAGTGGACAATTCCACAGTTAATGTTAAGTACCACACAGACATATGATGTGTCTTCAAATGTGTGTTAACAAAGATAATTCACAAGCATGTGCTTGTGGTTATATACCACAGTACTAAGCTAAACTAAGTGTGCATTAGCAAAGATAATATTTTTGCTAATGCACACTTAGATTGAAAGTTATTTAATATTTTAAATTTTATACAAATGTTAGTTTAATTAATATAAAATGGATTTCTACATTAGAGTTCAAAATATAAAACAAAAACATATCTTTTGTTTGGTTTTGTTAATTATTATTTTGAGTTATATTTAACAAAACTATTAAATTCAATTTAAAAATTATTGTAATTATTAGTTAATGTTTGTATGAGAGAGCAGACTAACTGTCTACCTTTGGAAAAAATTATTTTATATTAATTATTAATAGTTAACAAAACTATAGTTCAAATAATCCAGAAATTAATATAATTATTACAGAATATTTGGGCTTGGTTGTTTATTTATGTCTACAATGATTTGTAAACAGAAATAAAAGAGAAAAAGCAATATTTTTATGCTTGTAATTGCAACTTCTAGGTGTATTAAATTTTGATTGTGCAACTTCTAAACTGCATACCAGTAATTATCTTGCTTTCAACAACCAGCCTGGCAGCATGGGATATATGATAGGGCAGGTTATACAAAGGTTCATTCTTGCAATTTTCTGTGGTGTATGTGGACAGAGGTATGTTGGTAAATTTTTAACAACTGTCTTGCTTCAGGGAACAGGGAGAGAATGGGAGGAGAAAGGATAAATAGATGTAGAATTTCCATAAATCCTTTTTTAAAGTATTTATATGTTAAAAGTGTTTTGAAATTCTTTTTAAAACAAAATTTTATAACAACAAAAAAATCAACTTGTATCAGAATTTTAAAGACAGTATATTGAACATTTGTTATGTCACTCATAAATGTTTTTTACTTTTGTATTGCTTTCCACCCTAATAAAGCACAAATTGTCCCCTAGTGACAAATTTTTGAAAAAAATGTTTTTCTTCAAGCAAAATTCCATTGCTTCACAGGTATTCATGCAAAATGTCAAGTCATTCTGACCCAACAACATATAATTACTAGACCCCAAATCAGATAAAAGTTAACGTAGAAACTAGCACCACCATCTGAAGCCAAAGAAAGTAGATGCTGCCATGACAGTCTAACGAAAAAAGTGAATATGCTGTAGACAGATTGTTGTGTGCTGACGATAGCTACTTATGCCACCTGAAGCAGACCTCAGTGGAGGTCAAAAGCATTTGTGGAGTTTATTGCAGACATAACACTTGTAAAAAAAGGTTTTGTGGATTGTTATTATGCCATAATTGCTATTTATTAATTAGACTTAAGTGTGTGGGAATTGTCACAGGAATATAACAGAAATCCTACTGAGTTGCTGTGCAGTTATTGTACAGAAAGGTATAAAAGAAGGATCCAGTANAATACAAAACCACTTGAATATGTAAATCATTTCAAATCGGCGCAATTAATTAATTAAACACCGCGACGTCGTGGCGCGTCGCTTCGCGTACCCAACAATCAAAAACTTATATAAAACACGCCAAGACGATTTCTACTCCTCCCTTCTAGCGCACGACGGAAAAAAATCTCATCGAATTACAATTACTCGACTTTGCCTGTGTGTCTGTCCGTCACGTTCTACGGTCTAAACCATATAACGTGACGGACAGACACACACATATACAGGCATTCGGACATTAATTTTAAACACTGGAATTGAAGAAATTTGAAAATCCTTTCAATGGTATAACCTTGAACGAGGTCCAAGAATTGACCATCACCTCATTGACCTTAACTTGAACCCAGTGTATTAATTTATATATAGCCTACATATATATATAAGAATGTACTTCAGCACGTATTATATGTCCCATCTGTCTCTTGTCATTTATATATATATATAATTTTCTATATTTTAAAGTGCATGTGACGAAATTCTCTGGTGAAATTCTAACTAAAATTGTAATACTGTATTTTGTGTTTATTTAATGATAAATGCTAAATTTAGCTTCGTTGGTATATGTTGAATGTTCAATTAAGAAAGAAATAATGATAATAAAATGGAGAACTTTTTATAAAACTCCTCCATTTTCTGTAGAGAAGTTTTTTTTAGGAAGAGAATTTCTTTAAAATGGATGGTTTAATGGTAGATTAAATGTTTTTAAAAAATTATAAAAATGGAGAATATTTTAAAAAATAAATCCTCCATTTAATAATCATTCACGTTAAATCTTTCGTTTACTTACAAAAAATCTTTACATTAAATTTTCCATTTATTTAAAAAATCCTCTTAAATAAATTCTTTATTTTTAGTAATTTTTTACGTTAAATCCTTCCTTCACTATACTTTCCACTTACTTAAAATCATTTCCATTAAATTCTCTAAGTAAGATCCTCCATTTTTAATTAATAATTCTTTATATCAAATCCTTTATTTATGTAGAAAATCCTCCAAATTAAATCCTTCATTTATGTAGAAAATCCTCCAAATTAAATTCTTCATTTTTTATTTAATAATCCTTCATTTATCCAGAAAATCCTCTAAGTAAAATTCTCCATTTTTAATTAATAATTCTTTATATTAAATCCTTTATTTATGTAGAAAATCCTCCAAATTAAATCCTTCATTTATGTAGAAAATCCTCCAAATTACATCCTTCATTTATGTAGAAAATCCTCCAAATTAAATTCTTCATTTTTTATTTAATAATCCTTCATTTATCCAGAAAATCCTCTAAGTAAAATTCTCCATTTTTAATTAATAATTCTTTATATTAAATCCTTTATTTATGTAGAAAATCCTCCAAATTAAATCCTTCATTTATGTAGAAAATCCTCCAAATTACATCCTTCATTTATGTAGAAAATCCTCCAAATTAAATTCTTCATTTTTTATTTAATAATCCTTCATTTATCCAGAAAATCCTCTAAGTAAAATTCTCCATTTTTAATTAATAATTCTTTATATTAAATCCTTTATTTATGTAGAAAATCCTCCAAATTAAATCCTTCATTTATGTAGAAAATCCTCCAAATTACATCCTTCATTTATGTAGAAAATCCTCCAAATTAAATTCTTCATTTTTTATTTAATAATCCTTCATTTATCCAGAAAATCCTCTAAGTAAAATTCTCCATTTTTAATTAATAATTCTTTATATTAAATCCTTTATTTATGTAGAAAATCCTCCAAATTAAATCCTTCATTTATGTAGAAAATCCTCCAAATTACATCCTTCATTTATGTAGAAAATCCTCCAAATTAAATTCTTCATTTTTTATTTAATAATCCTTCATTTATCCAGAAAATCCTCTAAGTAAAATTCTCCATTTTTAATTAATAATTCTTTATATTAAATCCTTTATTTATGTAGAAAATCCTCCAAATTAAATCCTTCATTTATGTAGAAAATCCTCCAAATTACATCCTTCATTTATGTAGAAAATCCTCCAAATTAAATTCTTCATTTTTTATTTAATAATCCTTCATTTATCCAGAAAATCCTCTAAGTAAAATTCTCCATTTTTAATTAATAATCTTCCATATTAAATCCTTCATTTACTTACAAAATCATACATAAAATTTTCCACATTTAATTTAATAATCTTCACATCAAATCTACTATTTATTTAAAGAAAAATTCTATTTAATTTATATCCTCTATTTACTTACAAAAAAAAAATCTTGCATTAAATCCTCCATTTTTTTTTTTTAAATTTAATAAACCTTCACCTTAAACCCGCCATTTATTTTGTTTAAAAAAATCCTCCGCATTAATTTATTAAATTGATGCGGAGGATTTGCTACAAACAGATGATTTAATATAAAGGATAATTTAAACGGAGGATTTTAATATACTGTATTCAAAAGAATAAAATGTACAGAGTCTTCCGGTCTACGTCTAACTTGATTATAACAGAATAGAATATTGTTTCGTGGTGTTTTAATTACTTGTTTATTCGCCAGAAATCACATCAATTGATGTCCATTCCTATTATTATTTTTTTTTATTAATCATTATTCGTCGTTCCTTTATTCTTTCTTAACAAAAGATTTAAGGAAAAAATTCATTTAAATTATGAATTTTTATTTACGTTTATTAAATCATTTTCGAGGCCATTTCTTTGTCGTAAAATCGCATTCTCTTACAAAGAAAAATTCGATTTTAATTATTATTTTTTTTTTTTTCGTCTTTAATTTTCAGAACTGCAGGCCGATAGATTCCCTCTCGTCCGTTTGTCTGTTCGTTCGTCCTTAGTTAAATCTCGAGAAAAGCGTTAAGATGGATGAAAACCGAGAAAGGATACGGAAAGCTTAGGGACCAAAGACCTCGCTTAACTGGATAGAATTTCCGGCCTGGAACGGAAGTGACGTGATTTTATAAAATTATAGGATGATTAAAAATTGCGTCACAATAAATAATTGATTATAATTAAGCAAACTATGCAAACGAGCTTATCGTAATCAAGCAAAGAAATTTACATCATTTTGTTATGTTTATTTAATTAGTTTATTACAATAAAAATTTTTATATTTAATTAATGATATTTTCCCACAAAGTATTATCATCATTTCCTCCGGAAGAAGAGGCAAGAAAATATGTTTCTATATATATAAACATTACTTTTATTTTGAAGATGAAAAGAAAATGTTGAGATATTCTTAGAAATATTTTTCAATATTTTTAGTAAGAATTGTAAGAATATTTATTAAGTTTAAAATTTATATATATATATAATAATCCTTCCTTAATTACTATTCTTAATTTATTTACTGCAGAAATATAAACTATAAGTGTTAATCATGATGATGATGAGTTTATTTTCTCATATATATATATATAACAATTAATTACTCAAACAAAGCAATTAGTTTCTTAAACAAACGATAAACATTAAATATGATGATGATGATGATGATATTGTGATAGCGGTGATGTTGATTCATAATGATTACTGATTGGTGATGAGATGATTGCTGCTGCTGCTGCTGCTGCTTATGATGATGATACGAGTATTTGATTTAGATTTTTTAATTAATTGCTCAAAAAGGAACACAATTAGTGCTTTAAACAATTGGAAAATTTAAATCCATGATGATGATGATGATGATGATTTAATTATTTCGGAATAAGACACGACATAAGCACTCGTAATTCAAATATATCTGTGATAAATTAATCAAAATAAGAGTACAATAAGAGCTTAAAATGATTGAAAAGTTGTATAATAATGTTTAATTACGTTATATACTTTAAAAGAATGTTTTTGTCATAACAGGTTTATGACCTCACAAATAATTACAAATCTTTTGCAATAATTTATTTGCATTTTGTAATTGCAATTCTTTAATTATATTCATTTTCGTAATGTGTTTTTAACTGCATTTAATAAAAATAAATAAATAAATACAGTGAAACAGCCACCCGTGTAATGCGACCACCTTCACCTTAAAACCTCTCTAACACGGCCAGTTAGGCAGTGTTAGAGAGGTTCTGAACCGCGACCACCTTCGACTTACCTGTTCAGATATTCCTTATTGTATTGTAAGGCAAAATAATAGTTAAAAAGTGCAGTCAGGTAAACTACCAATTAAAAATTATCCTTATTTGTTGCTATTCTATTGTGAGAGACTCGAGTAAAGGTAAAGATAATTAGGAAGCCAGACTCATTATTCTTAAAATATAATTTTTTTTTTTATTCGTCTACAGATCTACAGGAGATAAAAATCCCTTCGAAAACGGAAGGTGGTGGTCGCCTTAGGGGTAGTTTTACTGTATTATTTTCTTTTCCTGTAAAAGCAAGCAATTAATTTCAATTATAAGTGCAAATTTTAACGTATTGTCCTTCACAGCTGCACGTTTTTAACTATTTTCTTAGTTCTTTTTTTGCTTTTCAGACAATTGTTTTTAAATTATTTGCAGACATTTTTACATTCCCGGCTGTTATAACAGAGAGAAAGTATGGCGATCAGGCAAAAAATTACCCGTCCACCCCCAGATTTTTATATTTTTACACTCAGGACACCTTGAAATGTCCAGAAATGCAAAAAAATTCGGGGGTATTTTCTGTGCGTGTGCGTGCAGAAGGCGCGATTTTTTCTTCACCCTCTTTGAAGCTTAATAACTCTTGTACTTTTTGTCGAAAATTGCTGAAATTTTGCGGGGAAGTTTTTGTATTAGAGGAATTGGTGCTATTAAATTTTGGTGATTAAAGGTCGAGGGAGTGGGAAGATAAAGGTGGTCGTGTCATATCTACAATAGGGTGTGATTTAATGACGATTTTACTCGTTATTCGTATTTAAATTTTTTTTTTTTTTTTATAAAACCCACCCCTTTCTTCAAAATTAAGCTTTTTGACATTTTATAATAGTTAAAAAATATAAAAAGTTTGTTTTTAAAAAAATATCGTAATAGATGGCGCTATCAAATGTTGCCGGGAAAGTTAAGCAACTCGTTGCTGGAATTTTTTTTTCTCTTGCATACGTATGATTTTAATTATTTCCTTTTCTTTTGCGACGAAATTTTTACTTTTTTTCCCTTTTCGCGACGAAAATTATTACTGTATTTCTCTCTTTGCAGCGGAAATTTTTACCCTATTTTACTTTTAGCAGTGGCATTTTTACCCTATTTTCCTTTNTAAATAATTTAACTTTCTTAAAAAGTTTGTTTTTAAAAAAATATCGTAATAGATGGCGCTATCAAATGTTGCCGGGAAAGTTAAGCAACTCGTTGCTGGAATTTTTTTTTCTCTTGCATACGTATGATTTTAATTATTTCCTTTTCTTTTGCGACGAAATTTTTACTTTTTTTCCCTTTTCGCGACGAAAATTATTACTGTATTTCTCTCTTTGCAGCGGAAATTTTTACCCTATTTTACTTTTAGCAGTGGCATTTTTACCCTATTTTCCTTTTAGCAGTGGCATTTTTTACCTTATTTCTCTTTTAGCAGTGGCATTTTTACCCTATTTTCCTTTTAGCAGTGGCATTTTTTACCTTATTTCTCTTTTAGCAGTGGCATTTTTACCCTATTTCCCTTTTTCTGAGGCAACTTTTAGACTATTTCCCTTTTTTTCAATTTTTACCCTATTTCCCTTTTTATGCGGCAACTTTTAGCCTATTTCCCTTTTTTTCAATGGCAATTTTCACCCTATTTGCCTTTTTGCAACGGCAATTTTTACCCTGTTTCCTTTTTTCTGCGGCAACTTTTACCCTATTTTTCTTTTGTCAACGGCAACTGTTACCCTATTTTTCTTTTGTCAACGGCAAGTTTTACCCTATTTTTCTTTTGTCAACGGCAACTTTTACCCTATTTTTCTTTTGTCAACGGCAACTTTTACCCTATTTTTCTTTTGTCAACGGCAACTGTTACACTATTTTTCTTTTGTCAACGGCAAATTTTACCCTATTCTCCTTTCTACAACAGGACTTTTTACATTTTCCTTTCCTTTTTACAAAATAATGATAATGATATTCATATTGGAATGCAATTTTCAAATTGCTGATCTATAGTTTCCCTCCGTTTTTGTGTCTGTCCATCCGTTCTTCCTTAATCTCGAGAAAGGAGTTACATAAAAGAAAATCGAGACCAGATATAGAAAGCTTAGGGACCGGAAGACCCGATTAAATACAGTAGAACTTTCGGCTGGACCCGAAGCCACGTGATTTTTTTAAAATTAAAATATGATTAAAAATTGCAACCCTACATAAGAAATGTGTAAGTTGCAGCAAAATTAAGACAAAATATATTCCGAATAATCAACAAACTTGGAATATTTTATTTCAATTAAATTAAATTTATAAATTTTAAAAATATTCAAACATGGCGTTACATAAATTCTAATCATTATTTTCTCCTTATCATTATTATTATATATATATATATATTTTTACTCAACACAATTTATGATTATATAAAATACAGGAAGTGATTGTTATCACCAAACAAGCATTAATTACCCTACAGAGAATTGTTATACAAAGAATTGATTTTTTTTTCTTTAGTCTATGCTATTTTAGGCCCTTAAATGCCTCCATTTTTTACTTGTTTCTTTTTTTTCTTTAATGCAAATTAAGATAAAATTATAGTCGACCCCCCTATAACACCGTTGATTTTTCCGTTTTATATGAATTCCATGTTGTACGAGTCACTTAGATTTTACAAATACGTGAGCCGTTCACAGCCCGGCATACGTATTTGTAAAATCTAAGTGACTCGTATAACATGGAATTCATATAAAACGGAAAAATCAATAGTGTTATATAGGGGTCGACTGTACTTCATTAAAGTACCTATCAGCATGCCATTTTCTAATGGGGAAATTATGTCACCGATAGGCATAAGTAAATCGAATTTTTCCCCGAGGCCTTGTGCTTTATGAGGCCTAAAAACTTATTAACTAGAATACAATATCGTATGTTGCTGCCTTATGTTATATAAATCTATATAAGAGGAGCCTCGCGTATCTACGCTTGTTAAGGCCTCCTACAACATGAAACCTGATCTAGTAGGCCCTACTACTTAGTATAATAATGAATAGTATCGTATCTACCTATGGCTACTTCCCTTCTTTAGAGTTGAGAGGGGTTTCGCCTATGTACTGTACGTTTGTTAGGGCCTTTCACAGTTTCAAACCGAGCTTGCTACTACTATAATAATGAAGATAGAATAGTGTTTAAGTGTTAATTACAATTAAAACTTGCTTATTTTCTGTAAATTTAAGCAAATAACCAAGTACAGGTAAATTCAGCAGCAGCAGCAACGTCGAGTCTCGGCGTTGCTGCTGCTGCTGAATTTACTCCTTAATATTAGTGTAAGAAAACTTGTTTTCAGCTGCAAACCATAATAAAAATAGGGTTAAATAAGTTAAAAAAATCTACTTTAAAGTGTTTTTTAATATTTTCTTTTACTACTAATTTGTGTTCTTTTTTTTTTCTCAGCTCTACTTTAATCGTATCTTACACAGTTTTCAACCTTTCTGGTTCATGAAATGGACCCCTGTGAAGTAAATAACCTGAATAAATGTTATTAATTTAATATTTAGGTTAAGTTTTATGTTACGATATTATCAGAGAAGGATATTTTTACCATTTAAATATTAAATTATCCCCTTTTTATTTTTAACTATTAATCGTTTAACACACGAAAACACGTGGTGCTTGTTGCTATACAGAACGATGGGAGTGTTAACTGATAATTACGTGGTTTAAATTTTTAATTGTTACGTATTAAAACTGCTGTGTTTTCTAATAATAGTCCAGTGTATAAAATATATAATTGCAGGTGTTTTTACTGAATGTCTGCAGTATGTCTTTAGCCTGCACACTGTATTTGTATAGTGTTGTATAGAGGGGAATTTAGTTGTACTGTAGGGATTAATTAATGCATTATTGCTGGCATAAAACATTATTAAATTTTATGTTATTCCATTGTGTAATTAAACTACAAAGTTCATTCGCCGTTGAAATGACAGCAAATGATAACCCCTTAATGATATATAAATAATTGATGTACTTTGTCACGTATTTAAATACATTTTTAAGCGTTACAAAAATTTAATTATATTCGCGAGAAAAATCTCATTG